CAAGGATATGGCACAGCAAGGATATGGCACAGCAAGGATATGGCACAGCAAGGATATGGCACAGCAAGGATATGGCACAGCAAGGATATGGCACAGCAAGGATATGGCACAGCAAGGATATGGCACAGCAAGGATATGGCACAGCAAGGATATGGCACAGCAAGGATATGGCACAGCAAGGATATGGCGCAGCAAGGATATGGCACAGCAAGGATATGGCACAGCAAGGATATGGCACAGCAAGGATATGGCACAGCAAGGATATGGCACAGCAAGGATATGGCACAGCAAGGATATGGCACAGCAAGGATATGGCACAGCAAGGATATGGCACAGCAAGGATATGGCGCAGCAAGGATATGGCACAGCAAGGATATGGCACAGCAAGGATATGGCACAGCAAGGATATGGCACAGCAAGGATATGGCACAGCAAGGATATGGCACAGCAAGGATATGGCACAGCAAGGATATGGCACAGCAAGGATATGGCACAGCAAGGATATGGCACAGCAAGGATATGGCACAGCAAGGATATGGCACAGCAAGGATATGGCACAGCAAGGATATGGCACAGCAAGGATATGGCACAGCAAGGATATGGCACAGCAAGGATATGGCACAGCAAGGATATGGCACAGCAAGGATATGGCGCAGCAAGGATATGGCACAGCAAGGATATGGCACAGCAAGGATATGGCACAGCAAGGATATGGCACAGCAAGGATATGGCACAGCAAGGATATGGCACAGCAAGGATATGGCACAGCAAGGATATGGCACAGCAAGGATATGGCACAGCAAGGATATGGCACAGCAAGGATATGGCACAGCAAGGATATGGCACAGCAAGGATATGGCACAGCAAGGATATGGCACAGCAAGGATATGGCACAGCAAGGATATGGCACAGCAAGGATATGGCACAGCAAGGATATGGCACAGCAAGGATATGGCACAGCAAGGATATGGCACAGCAAGGATATGGCACAGCAAGGATATGGCACAGCAAGGATATGGCACAGCAAGGATATGGCACAGCAAGGATATGGCACAGCAAGGATATGGCACAGCAAGGATATGGCACAGCAAGGATATGGCACAGCAAGGATATGGCACAGCAAGGATATGGCACAGCAAGGATATGGCACAGCAAGGATATGGCACAGCAAGGATATGGCACAGCAAGGATATGGCACAGCAAGGATATGGCACAGCAAGGATATGGCACAGCAAGGATATGGCACAGCAAGGATATGGCACAGCAAGGATATGGCACAGCAAGGATATGGCACAGCAAGGATATGGCACAGCAAGGATATGGCACAGCAAGGATATGGCACAGCAAGGATATGGCACAGCAAGGATATGGCACAGCAAGGATATGGCACAGCAAGGATATGGCACAGCAAGGATATGGCACAGCAAGGATATGGCACAGCAAGGATATGGCACAGCAAGGATATGGCACAGCAAGGATATGGCACAGCAAGGATATGGCAGCAGCAAGGATATGGCACAGCAAGGATATGGCACAGCAAGGATATGGCACAGCAAGGATATGGCACAGCAAGGATATGGCACAGCAAGGATATGGCACAGCAAGGATATGGCACAGCAAGGATATGGCACAGCAAGGATATGGCGCAGCAAGGATATGGCACAGCAAGGATATGGCACAGCAAGGATATGGCACAGCAAGGATATGGCACAGCAAGGATATGGCGCAGCAAGGATATGGCACAGCAAGGATATGGCACAGCAAGGATATGGCGCAGCAAGGATATGGCACAGCAAGGATATGGCACAGCAAGGATATGGCACAGCAAGGATATGGCACAGCAAGGATATGGCACAGCAAGGATATGGCACAGCAAGGATATGGCACAGCAAGGATATGGCACAGCAAGGATATGGCACAGCAAGGATATGGCACAGCAAGGATATGGCGCAGCAAGGATATGGCACAGCAAGGGAGAGCGACGAATTGCATGTGATGTGACATGCGTGACGCACATGCTCCATCTCTGCTGAAAACACCTGAAGATCCACCTGAAGCTGCCAACTGATAGGGCTGCAGCGATCACACGAGAGAGTTATGCTGCAATGCAAGGCACAGAGCATGAGGCATGCATAATATGACGGATGAATGCATGGCATGGGTCGCCTTTGGAGTGCGAGTGCCATGCCATTCCTGTGAGTGCGTGTACATGCACATGCATGTGTGAAGTGCACCGCATGGGTGGGCGGCTTGGAGTGCCAGTGGAACTCCTGTTTGTACCTGTGCCTTGGCAGATGCATGTGTGGGTTGCACCGCATGCATCACAGAGGGAGCACGCACAAGTGAGAAGAACGTGAAATATAAGTTCGTGATGTGGGTTCCACTCCACTTACATCCGCCTACTTTTTGCTTAAATACAACACCGAGTGCAACGTACGGTTTGGAACATGAAACTGTCCAGCTCGTCCGTTTCATCATCTGATGGCAGCAGATTCGCCAATGCCACCACCTGTTGCCATGCCATGTCATCGCATGTCATGCCATCCCAACCCATGCCATCACATCCGATGCTAACCACGCCAGACCAGACCATCCGCCATCCCCTCCCATGCCATGCCATGCAACAAAATCGAGCATCATGCGGAATGAGTCTCGGGATTAGAGTCAGAAGCCCAAGGAAAAGTTGGGGGTTCAAGGTTGAGGGTTTGAGATTTGAAGGTTCAGAGGAACAACTTGAAGGGTTCGGGTTGTAAGTCTAGCTTCGCATGTCCCTGCCCCCGATCGCGCTTGTGGGGGTTTAATATCGGAATGTGGGGTACGGAGGGGCAAGCCATGCTCCGACACGCCTCTTGAAGAGGAATTTGAACCGAAGTTACGTTGGGTTTGTGCACCCCGATAGTGTTGATAAGGTTACAGCGATCATGGCGAGGCGCGGCATTATGGTGGGATGGGGATGGCATGCTAATGCATCGTCCTTTCGACGTCGCTCCGTTATCCCGTGTCTATATCGCGTACGCCACGCACCTCATGTCCATACCGCGTACACTCCATCATGTTGAAACAGCTGTCCTTCCCCCCGCTCACTAACGCCACCACCTTCATCGCGCCAAGCCAATAACGGGGATGAAAACGACGAAGAGGCTAGAGAAAACTTCAACCAACTGTCGACTCTCTATGAAGCGAGCTTTGTCTCGACTCTCGACTCGGATCTCACGAAGCCCTGATTCTAGGCTCCGGCTAAAATGACGGAATAGAGTTCGCGCGTATTTGCGTCTTAACGGCCAGGAGCTGGCGGCTTGGGCGCGCCACGCGTGCAAAACAAGCTGCAGATCAGATCCGGTAACATGTCAGTTACATGTCAGTAACCTCTCGCTCCCGCAGGTGGAGTTGGATACGCGATGGAGGGAAAAATGAGCCATACTTGTAAAATGGGTCAGGCTGATACAATAGATGTGACGGTGTATCACCTACGACAGGCAGAGTGGTCGACTCGTCGAGTGAAACTTTTTCTGACACGACTGGGGACAATACTGCCAAACCTGCTGACACGCCCGCTGAGTTTATGTCGGAACCGCCTTTAAAGAGATTCAGAGATTTCGAATTGTTTTGCCGCAATTCGTCACTGTTACGCTCTGATTACGAGACTACCGCAAGTTCAGTTCGAGGACCATTCCAGCTTCAATCTCAGATTAGAAAGCAGCTTCAGAATGAAACGAGGTTGCCAGATACTGTTTGCTGCAGATGAAGATTGCCCTGCTCGAATTTGGTTGTTCCGCAAACTTTGAAGTTGGTCTGTGAAACTTAAAACCGGAGGTCCAAGAGTTTCTAAGTTAGGAAGGTTGCAAGGGGAGAGAAAGGTGACTGGCTCGCGAGCCAGGGTGGTGTCGACATCGGTGGTAGCGGGTCGCTAAGTATGAAAAAGTCGCGAGTGTAACCAGATCTGGAATGCTACGTCAGAACTCGTTCGCTGACTGTTTCGGACGGGCTGCAAATTTGTTTGCGAAGGTGTCACCGCTATCGTCCTCGCCTGAACAGTAATTTTGCTTGGGGAAAATCGTCCCAACAATTTGCGAGGAGAGCTCGGTATCAACTGGGTCACACCCAACCAAAGTTAGGAAGGTTGAGGCAGTTTCGGGCTGTTTGGGACTCCGGTTTTAAGTGTCGTAAATCCCTGTGTCGCAAATCCATATGCGATGCGATCTCATCGACCAATCTAGGCTCTAGCTGTTTGGCAGTTACGTCTCATTGTCGCCGTCAATCTCTGTCATCGTCCGACTCTCCTTCTCCGTCGCTGATCATCGCACGACCTTCTGTGATCATATCTTAGTCCAGCGGGGTGAAATTCGATTCTCCTTGCTCGCAGTTCACGCTGCCTGCCACTCCCTACGCGCTGCGCCCTGCTTCCCGCGCCTTGCGCGCTCCGACCGTCACCGTGCGCCATGAGCGTTCCGCCGATGAGTGCCGCGGCGGTGGCGGCGTTTGGCGGAAAGCTGCTGGAGGAGCCGCGGCGGCGCGGAATCGAGATCGGCGGGTGGCGCATCGAGTGCCGCCACGAACCGATTCTCACCGCTGAAGAGACGGAAGCGTGAGTCGCGGGAGTATATAATTCTCCTTACACACGTAGGCCCAAGATCCGCGGGCAACGCATCAAATCCCAACGCCCATACACCCCCTGGACGAAACCTGTAGCCCATTTCAGGGGAAAGACCCCTTGGGCCCATTTCAGTGTCCGCTCCCAACACCTTTCGATGCGAACATACAATGCCGCGGATACGCGGATTCGCAATCACCGCATACAGGGCCCACACCAGCCAATTCCGATTTCAGAAAAAAAAAAAAACAGAATCCGAATAGTTGCTGGGTTTTACCCCTCTTCGCCTCCCCCCTCCCCAGCTCCCACCTCCCCACTCCCCTTCCTCCACTGCCTCCCCACCCAACCCTCCCATCTCCCCGTCTCCCCCAGGTGTCAGGCGGCTCTCTTCTCGCAGTGGCTCCCCGAGATGGTCTTTGGTCGCAGCTGCCTGCGCGCGGAGCACCTGGGCACGGGCGTGGGCGTGCATTTTGGGGCACTAGAGGTGCTTTTGCCTCACTCTCACTCACACGCCTTTTCCCCCACACGTCTCGCCAATTCCTCTCCTCTCCCCCAGGTGGCAAAAGACCCTCTCCTCGCAGTGCCTTCCCGAGATGGTCTTTGGGCGGAGCTGCCTGCGCGCGGAGCACGAGAGCACACACGCGGGTGTGCGGTTGGGAGGTCACCCATACGTCCACCACATTGACCCTACCAAACACCCTCAAACCCCTCCCTCCGACACCCCTAACTACCCCAGGTGGCAGGCGGCTCTCTCCTCGCAGTGGCTTCCGGAGATGGTGTTTGGGAAGAGCTGTCTGCGCGCGGAGCACCTAGGCACGGGCGTGGGCGTGCAGCTGGGGGCGCTAGAGGCGCTGAGAGGGTGGAAGGAGGCGCGGCTGCCCCCTGTCAAGGTGCCTGCTGCTGCCGCGTGGGGGAAGAGAAGGTGAGGAGACTTATGGGGTTAATTTGAGCTGCCTGCGCGCGCAGCACCTGGGAACGGGCGTGGGCGTGCAATTGGGGGCGTTTGAGGCGCTGAGAGGGTGGAAGGAGGCGAAGCTTCCGCCTGTCAAAGGGCCTGCTGCTGCTGCTGCATGGGGGAAAAGAAGGTGAGTGGGCCTATGGGGTTTACTGGGTGCCTGCGCGCAGACAACTTAGGCACGGGCGTGGGCGTGCAGCTGGGGGCGCTGGAGGGGTGGAAGGAGGCAAAGCTTCCGCCTGTCAAATTGCCTGCTGCTGCTGCATGGGGGAAAAGAAGGTGAGTGGGTCTATTATGGGGTTTACTGGGTGCCTGCGCGAAGAGCACTTAGGCACGGGCGTGGGCGTGCAGCTGGGGGCGCTGGAGGGGTGGAAGGAGGCAAACTTTCCGCCTGTCAAATTGCCTGCTGCTGCTGCTGCGTGGGGAAAGCGAAGATGAGGAGGCTTTTGGGGTAGATTGGAGCTGCCTGCTCGCGGAGCACCTGGGCACGGGCGTGTGAAGGTGCTGAGGGGATGGAGGGGCGGCTCCCGCCTGTGAAGGTGCCTGCTGCTGCTGCATGGGGGAATAGAAAGTGAGGGGGGAAGGGGGTGTGTTGGGGGGTTTTGGGGGAGAGGGGCCAGGGTTTAAGCATACGTAAGTGGGGTTATGGAAAGATGCAAGGGTGGGGGGCGCTGAAGGTGTGGAGGAGGGGTGGCTTGCGTTGGTGAATGTGCCTGCTGCTGCTGCATGGGGTAAGAGAAGATGAGGGGGGGGGGATGGGAAGGGGAGAAGGGAAGTGAGGTTTGTTCTTTCTTCTTCGTGTTTTCAGCTCTTTGATTCTTTTGATGCGCTGCCCTGCCACCCCACCCCACCCCATCCCACCCCACCCTACCTCTCTCCCCATTCCACCCTCAAGCTTCCATCCACAGATATGATTTTGGATTATGACTGCACCTTCACCACCCCCTACTGCAGCTCATGTGCTTTCCTTGTCCCATGTCTCGCCCCACCCCACTCCATCCCACTCCATCCCACTCCATCCCATCCCATCCCATCCCATCCCATCCCATCCCATCCCATCCCATCCCATCCCATCCCATCCCATCCCATCCCATCCCATCCCATCCCATCCCACCCCATCCCACCCCATCCCACCCTCCAGCTGCCCATCCACGGATATCATACTTGACTATGACTACACCTTCACCACGCCCTACTGCTCCTTACGCCCCTTGCTTTGTGGCTTTGTCTTCTCTCCCACTTTATCCCACCCCATCCCATCCCATCCCACCCTCCAGCTGCCCATCCACGGATATCATTCTCGATTATGACTACACCTTCACCACCCCCTACCGCGGCTCCATTATTACCAGTAGCAGTGCTTCCCTTTCACCTGAGAGCAGCATGGCCGGCAGCAGCAACAGCAACAGCAGCAGCAGCAGCAGCACCACCACCACCACCACCACCACCACCACCACCAGCACCCACGCACCTGATGATGTCAGCGCACCCCTCGCATCATGTGTTGCTGACATCAGCATCAGCAACGCCGACAGAGGTCTAGCTGTTGGAGCAGGAGGAGAGGGGGAAGAAGGGAGAGGGGCGAGAGTGAGAGCAGAGGGCATGAGGGAGGGAGAGGTGGAGGGAGCAGGGGAGACAGCACAGGTGGTGAGGGAAGTGCAAGCCGTTTGGCCTCAATCTGATGCTTTTGGTGCTGGTGGTGTTGGGGTTGGAGGGGAAGGGGGTGGGGGAGAAGGAGGGAGTGTGGAGAAACGGAGTCTAAGAGGGGCGGAGGGGGAAGAGAACAAGGGGAGTGGGGGAGAAAAGGAAGGGAGGGGAGCAGGGGGAGGAGGAGAGTGGGAGGCGGAGTGGGTGGCGTGTGGGGAGGGCGAGGGCATTGACTGGGCCTTGCTGCAACGCCGCGACCCCATCCTCTTCTCCGATGAGGTACTGATGGTTGGGATGTGGTGATGATGGTTGGGATATGGTGGAAAAATTGGGTGGAGCGAGGACATGTTTTGGGCCATGCTGCAGTGCTGCTGGGACCCCATCCTCTTCTCCAATGTCGTGGTTATTGCTGCAATGGGGTAGTAATGGCTGGGATGCGGTGGTGATGGTTGGGATGAGGTACGGATGGTTGGGCCATGCTGCTGCGCCGCGACCCGATCTTCTTCTCCAATGAGGTACTTATGGATGGGATGCGGTGATAAAGTTTGGGATGCGGTGATAAAGTTTGGGATGCAGTGATAAAGTTTGGGATGCGGTGATAAAGTTTGGGATGCGGTGATAAAGTTTGGGATGCAGTGATAAAGTTTGGGATGCGGTGATATAGTTTGGGATGCGGTGATAAAGTTTGGGATGCAGTGATAAAGTTTGGGATGCGGTGATATAGTTTGGGATGCGGTGATAAAGTTTGGGATGCAGTGATAAAGTTTGGGATGCGGTGATAAAGTTTGGGATGCGGTGATAAAGTTTGGGATGCGGTGATAAAGTTTGGGATGCCGTGATAAAGTTTGGGATGCCGTGATAAAGTTTGGGATGCGGTGATGGTAGCTGGGGAAATGTTGTTGGTTTGGCCAGCATTGTTCGCACACAACTCGCACATTGGGTGATGGCAGCAGAGAATGGTTGGGTGCGGAATAGTGATGGAGTGATGGGGTGATTGCAGCTGATAGAAATTTCTAAATCTCTCTGTCTGCCACACCTTCCCTTGCACTTCTACCTCCCATCCCATCGCATCCCGCCAGGTGGTGCTATATGCGGACGAGTCGGCTGATAGTGGCATCTGAGTTGAGTCGACTCAAGGGTTCCTTTGCGTGCTCTCCTTGTCTGCTCATACTGCCACACCCAACCTCCCACTGAATCTACCTCCCATCCCATCGCATCCCACCAGTTGGTGCTATATGAGGACGAGTCGGCTGATAGTGGCATCTGAGTCGAGTCGACTCAAGGGTTCCTTTGCGTGCTCTCCTTGTCTGCTCATACTGCCACACCCAACCTCCCACCGAATCTACCTCCCATCCCATCGCATCCCACCAGTTGGTGCTATATGAGGACGAGTTGGCCGACAGTGGCATTACAGTCGACCCCTGGCCACTCCTTCCCTTCCTCCGCACCTCTCTCAACCGCTCTCTATATCTCCCTCTGCCCATACCGCCACACCCAACCTCCTATGCAACTCCCATCCCACCAGGTGGTGCTATATGAGGACGAGTTGGCTGACAGTGGCATCTCCCTCCTCACTGCCAGAGCCGTGAGTACCACCCACCCTGCTCTTCCTCCCTCCCCACCCCGCTCCCCCAACCCTTCTCCCCTTTGAAAGATTGGCTACGGGGTGTTGTATATTCGGCCCCAGAAGAATCTAATAACTAAATAAGCACCCATCCTCACTGCCAGAGCCGTGAGTACCACCCACCCACCCTGCTCTTCCACCCTCTCCCACTCCCCCGACCCCTCTCCTCCCCTTAGTAAGATTGGCTAAGGGGTGCTGTATATTCACCCCCATAGGTTTTTTTAAAACTAAATATGCAGCAGCTGCTGGGCTGTTTCCGTTCCGAGACACCTCAATGGCTTGAACTATGGGTATGTGTATATGTGTGTATGCATATATGTATATATACACATTTGCATGCATAAACTTATGTAGATAAGCCATTTTCTTGAATTGCATGTGTGTGTACACAATAGTATCTGCATCCCTCACTCTCCTCATTCCCTTTCATTATATTTTTATTTCCTTCTTTTGCCTTCTTTCAATTGTTTGTCAATGCCCCTGTCCCTGAACGCAGAGGGTCATGCCAACCTGCTGGTTCATCCCTAAGTTGGAAAAAACACGTTTCGCGTTTTGTACGCTTTCGTATAAACGCAAGCGTCTAAACGCAAAACGCTGGCCGGGAGGGGTCTGGTACGCACAAGAATCCGCTTGCCCGGGCAGGAAAAAAAAATCCCCGGGCAGGTTAGATGCTCGACCAAGAGATGGAAACCGGAGCTGCTGTAGTAATCCATTACCTAACTGCTGCTGTAGTAGGTCATCGTCGAAGTGAAGAGGAAGAAATCGAACGCAAAGATTATTGAAGGGAAAAGCGGCCTGACATTGAGTGAGTCTGGTAGAAGTTGGCAACAAATTGGATGGGGTGAAGGTGGGTTGTGAGCGGTGGATAAGAGGGAATGATCCATCAACAATCTCGAAATTCAGATCTGAAGTTGCTTTAGCAACGCGCGAACTCAGATCTGAATTTCGAGACTCAAATTTGAGTTCGCCAGATCGCGAACTCATCTGATTTTTTTTTTCCGGTCAGCCCGAGCCAAATTTGGCGAATTTTAGAAAAATCCGCAGCGTACGAATTCTAGATGCGTATAAACTCAATACGCAACTTGAAACAAGCGTTTTTTCCAACTTAGGTTCATCCTTGAGTAAACTGAAAAATAACTCTATTTTCTTTCTTGCCCACCCTTGCCTGTCACTGAGCGCAGAGGGTCATGCCGACCTGCTGGTTCATCCTCCTCCGCTTCTGGGTGAGTCCTTCATCTGACGTCACCATCTCCCATACATCTCCCATCTGACGTCACCATCTCCCATCTGACGTCACCATCTCCCACACATCTCCCATCTGACGTCACCATCTCCCACACATCTCCCATCTGACGTCACCATCTCCCATCTGACGTCACCATCTCCCATCTGACGTCACCATCTCCCATCTGACGTCACCATCTCCCATCTGACGTCACCATCTCCCATCTGACGTCACCATCTCCCATCTGACGTCACCATCTCCCATCTGACGTCACCATCTCCCATCTGACGTCACCATCTCCCATCTGACGTCACCATCTCCCATCTGACGTCACCATCTCACATCTGACGTCACCATCTCCCATCTGACGTCACCATCTCCCATCTGACGTCACCATCTCCCATCTGACGTCACCATCTCACATCTGACGTCACCTTCTCACATCGGACCCCTGCTCCTCCAACACTGCGCCATGTCATTGCAGTGATGCCTTGTCCTGTCTCGTCTCTTTCGATACCCATCTCTCTCTCCCCCATTCCCCTCAGATGCCTGTGTGAAGAGCTCTCGTCTGCCTGTGCAACCCTCCATCCCCCTCCTTTGTCTCCCTTCCTGACTCTTCCCTGCTAGTGTCCCTTTCACCCGCTCCCCGCCTCCTCCCCTCCCCCCACCCCTCACTGCGTGTGGTCTCAAAGAAAGGTTCTAGCAAGAGCTAGGTTTAGGAGTGAGTAGCGAGATAGATGAGAGAAAAGAGGAGCACTAGGCAATCATTTATTTATATATATATATGTATATTCAAATATATCTTCTGACATGTGGATGGAGCTCTGATAGGCCTGCGTGACTCACACAAGAGCCTCTCCCCCTCTTTCTTCTCCCCCTTCTCCTCCCCTCCCCCCTCCCCTCAGCTGCGAGTGGACGGGGCTCTCATGCGCCTGCGCGACTCGCGCTTCTTCTGCGCCTTCACCACCACACCTGCTCCCGTGAACCCTTTCTCTCCGCCATCCGCCCTCGCATGCCCTCAGCCTCCAACCTCAGCTTCCCCCACCCTTGCAACCGCCGCTGCAACAGCAGCCCAAACCGCTGCAGCAGATGCTGCTGCTGCTGTTTCTGCTGCAGCTGCAGTATCACACTCGCATCGCACACAGCAGCAGCAGCAGCAGCAGCAGCAGGAAAAGGAGGAGAAGCGAGATATGGGCCGGGATGGGCAAGATAGAACACGGGATGAGGAGGGGAAGCATGGCATGCCTATGGTCGTTCGAGAGTACACGGAACGAGAGGACACTTTCGCTGCTCTGGCTGCTGTATGCACTCTGCTTTCTAGAATTCTCAAAAATACCTTGCTCTCTTGCTGTTTAGCTCCCTTGCTCCTTTGCTCCCTCGCTCCTTTTCTTCTTTGCTCCCTTCCCCACCACTCCAAGTATCTCGCCTACATACCCATGTACAGACCATACACTCTCCCCACCTGTCTGTAAACCTATTCACCACTCTGGATACATTTCGATATTTCCCATTATTTCCCGTGTGCCTGGTTTCCGTCTTATCTGCCTGCTGAAAGGTTTGCTGTCTCCCTCCCTGCTGCCACCCGAATGGCAGAAAGGGTATCCTTCCTAACCAACAATGGATACCCAGTTGATTTTTGAGTCGGCTTAAAAGTCAACTCACTGCCACCCGAGTGGCAGAAAGGGTATCCTTCCGAACCAACGATGGATACCCGTTCTGCCACTCGGGTGGCAGCAGGGAGGGAAAACCCTCCCCGCAACCCCTTTGCCCCCCCCTGCTGCCTGGCTGCCCCCCCCTGCTGCCTGGCTGCCCCCCCCTGCTGCCGCCTGAGTAGCAAAAAGGGTATTAGTCCGATCCAACAATGTCTCTCCCCGCATGCATCCCATGTGCTCCCCCCCCTGCTGCCTCCCTGCCTTTCAAGTCACCGACAAGCTCTCTCTCATGTGCTGCATCCCTCCTGCCTCTGCTCCCCCCCCTCCCTCCTCTTGGTCTCCTGCAGAAGGGTTACCCCTCGGATCCGGCATTCTATTCGGACCCCTTTCAAGTCACCGACAAGCTCGCCATCGTGCGCTCTCGGACAGAGAAGTTGCTGACAAAAAGACGCGTGGTGATGCTACAGTAGAGCATACCATACAGGGGTAGTTTGTTTGTGAAGGGCTAGACCCCACTTGTTTAACACCCCCCCCCCCCCCCCCCCCCTTTTTTTTTTAACACCACATTCTTACTAAGTTCCTAATTACAGGTGTGGAGATTATGTTAGCAGTTTGACTAAGATACGTAACAATGGGCCCATGTCTCCTGATATGTAATAATGAGCCCATGTCTCCTGATGGGCCTAATGGGCCCATGTCTCCTGATGGGCCTAATGGGCCCATGTCTCCTGATGGGCCTAATGGGCCCATGTCTCCTGATGGGCCTAATGGGCCCATGTCTCCTGACTGACAGTAGCTCGTGTTCGTGTTCGTGTTCGTGGCAGTACACAGTTCAGGAATCAGGGTGCCCTGTCAAGCAAGCTCACTCCATTGCCTGTCCCTGTGCGGCAAATCCGAGGTGACTTTTGAGTCGACTAAAAAAACTGTCCCTGTGCGGCAAATCCCAGAGCGCCACGTGGCAAGGCAGGCCATGGAGGTGGCAAACCAGTTTCAAGGTCATTGGTGCACAGCTGTGAGCGGCGATGGAGCGGTGAGTGAAGGTGCAGTGTGGTGCTGGAGGGGCGATCTGTTGTGGAGGCAGTGAGGCTCAGAGGTTTCTGTAAGGGTTATCTACGGTAAGGTCACACTTTTCCTTTAGTGCGCTCTGCTTGCGTTCTTTGTGACGAATGTGTTTAAATGCTTGATTTCAGAATGCAAGGGTCTAGTGTTGAGTTGTCTCAGGCCAGTATCAGTTACTACATTGCATGCTCAATGCGTTGATCATACAGTAGACCGATGGTTCATCCCATGTTTCCAAGCACAATTCCTGCTCGTCGAACCACATCATCTCCTGCTGCCTCTCCCCGAATCACATCACATCCGCAAGCTGATGCCTTTGCCACTAATGCATCTACCACACACACAAGACGCTGCCACTCCCTAGGTACAGATATGGGGCAGCACGCGCACCTCTCAACCCGCTGCAGCGACGTGAGATTCTCCCAATGCTCCTCCTCCTGCACATAAGCCCTGAGCAAGCGTTCCAGTTGGTCAGGCTCTCTGGCTTGCTCCACAGGGCAGGCAAATCTATCAGATTGGAGGATGTGGGAGAGGGAGAGGTGATGCAAGGACGTGAGGTGGCGCATCCAAGGAGGTAAGCGAGGGCCCACATGGCAGTTAACAAGAGACAGCCGTTGCAAGCAAGGCAGAAGCTGCTGCTTGCTGCCATGCTTACTTCTGCAGCTGCTGCTGCTGCTGCTGCTGCTGCTGCTGCTGCTGCTGCTGCTGCTGCTGCTGCTGCTGCTGCTGCTGCTGCTGCCGCTGCTAATGCCAGTTATCTCGTTGCTGCTGTCCTCATTAAAGCCGCCATTGCCCTCCTCTTCCTCTCCACCCCTCCTCCGACCTTCTCCGCCAACCTTAGTAATTTCCTCCGTAACCCGAACCTCGTCGATACTAAACTTTACAAAGACCCCCTCAGTCACCTCCAGTCTCTCCAGCTCACGCAAGCGCAACACCTCACTGCCAAAGTCATCTGTGTGAAGCTCTTGCACCCGCGGGGGCAGCGCAAACTGTGGCCTCACTCTCCCCCGATGCGCGATGATGGACTTGTTCTTGTTCTCACGCCCCCGGTGCACCACCAGGCGACGCACCGAGTGCAGCTGCGGCAGGAAATCTATCGGGATAGTTAGATTGTGGTTTACTACGAGGGCGAGATCGCGCAGCAAGGGGAGCTCCGGAAGGCAGTCAGGGAGCGAGTTGAGCCCATGGCAGCGCGTGATGACCAGACGGTGCAGGGAGGAGAGGCAGGAGAAGGAGGGCGGTAGCTCGTGCAGCAGAGGAAGGTCGTGCAGCCATAGCTCCCTCAGGCTTGGAAATCTGAAGGCGAAAGGGACTTGTGCAGAGGCATTTACAGCATAATAGGCATTTATAGTATTCATAGCATTTATAGCATTTCTACCATATGTAGCATTTATAGCATTTATAGCGTTTATACCATTTATAGCATTTATAGCGATTGTAGCAAGGAGAGGGCAGTTGTCAATCGCAAGGATGGAGAGGCGAGGGGAGGAGGAGGAGGAGGAGGAGGAGGAGGAGGAGGAGGAGGAGGAGGAGGAGGAGGAGGAGGAGGAGGAGGAGGAGGAGGAGGAGGAGGAGGAGGAGGAGGAGGAGGAGGAGGAGGAGGAGGAGGAGGGGTTGAGGAGTGAGGAAGGGCCTGTGAGCGCTGTGAGGTTTGGGAGGTCGCGAATCTCCATGTGGGACAGGCTGCGCGACGGGAAGCACGGCACGGTATGGAGGTTGGCGCATCGCTCTATAACGAGTACAGAGAGCGATGGGCAGTGAGTACGCAGTGGATCGCAGATGACAGTCAGGTTGGGAAGATTGTTAAGCTTTAAGGTGTGCAGGCTGGGAGGAGGAGTGAGGAGGGAAGAGAAGCGCGGGCAGTTCTCAATGGAAAGGATGGTGAGGGACGGGCAGGCGGCGGGCAGGGAAAGGCATTCGGGCAGGTGGGAAAGTTTTGGAAGGTTGCGCAGCACCAGATGTTGCAGGCTGGGCATGCGAATGGGAGGTTCGAGCATTGACCTGGTTGACTCGGTTGACTCGGAGGCACTGCTGCAACCAGCCGAAAAGGAGGAGCCTGAGTAGCCGTCCAGCACGAGGCGCGTGAGCGAGTGGTGCTGGAGGATGCCACGTGGCAGGTGCTGAAGGGCTGACACGTCAGCAAGCTCGAGGTGTTGCAGTTTGGAAGAGAAGAGGGGGTGCCGCGGCTGTACTGCTGCCGTGACAGTGGGGACACCACCACCCTGCTTACTCTGACTGTCAACCTGTGACGGCTGCTGCTGCTGCTGCTGCTGCTGCTGCTGCTTCTCTTGGCAGCGGTGGAGCTTCTTACGTCGGCGCCGCTGTCGCCTTCTCCACTGAGGCGGCAGTTGCTGCCCATAGCTTGCCCCCACATCCCCCCCTTCACTCTCACCCCCCGACACCATGGAAACAACCACGTTATGAGCATCGTCAGATTCAATGCCCTTCCTTCGCCCTTCCCCCACGCCACGTTCCCCATCCTCCCCCTGAAAACGCACAGCTGCCAGCCCACAGCCGTCCCTGGGCGTTCTCCAAGCATCGAGCGTCACCGAATAGCATCTTTCTACACGAATGCGCTGCAGGGACGGCAGCAGGGCAAGCGACTCTGGAAGCTGCCGCAGCGCCAAGCAGTCCCTCAAAACCAGCTCCTGCAGACACGTCAGCTGCCCAAGAGATTTTCCAGGGAGACACGTCACCCCCTCCCCTGCGCCACGGATTTCCAAGCACAGTAGGGAGGGCGCCAAGGGGGAGAGCCTCGGGATTGCCGCAACGCCAACGAGCGACAGTGACGTCAGCTGCAGCAGCGCTGCCAGGCGAGCGATGAGCCAATCACTGACGGTCCCTCTGCTGCTGCTGCTGATGCTTCGGCAAGAGTCCCCGTGTAGCGTGAGGGAGCGCAGGTGGGGGAAGGCGGAGAGCGTACGCAGGAGGGAGCGGGGGTGTAATAGCAGGCCCGGGGAAACAGTGATGGCGCGCGGGAGACTCTCAGAGAGGCGCAGCCAGCGGCGGCAGACTAGCGCGCACGTGAGCAGCGGCGGGGTGGGGGAGACGTCGGTGCTATTTGCCTTGCGGCAGGAGCATGTGGGGTCTTTACATGGCAGCTGCTGCTGTTGCTTATAGCCCCAGCGATCGCGGGTGGTGATGGTCATGGCGTTAGGGCACGGCTCTGTTGATGGAGAGCCGCGGCTGCTAGTAGTACTGCCATTTGCATCGATGCCTGTCGTCGCCGGTCCATCAACGGCTTCGCTGTTGTGGCTGCTGGTGGTCAAAGAAGGGGCGCTGCTGCTGCCGCTGCTGCTGCTACTGATGACGCGGATGATGCTCAGCAAGATGACATCTGGCAGCCGATCAATGTCGCACGGCGAACACGCGATGCAAGCAGCCGTATGATTCGACTCAGTGGCTGCCGTTCGATCTAACGGATTGCGACGGATCGAGACGGGAGGCGCCGGCGGCTGCGGTGATACGCAGCGGTTGCGCGACTCGTCCATTGATGAAAGCGGGAATGGTCAAGGCCGGAAGGATGGAAGAACGGATATGCAAGGCAATGAGGGTTTCCAACGCTTGTTTCAGATAGGATAAATAGGTAAATGATATTGCTATCGACGCTATACGATCGTACTACGCACAAACGGTGGTGGAAGGAAGGTGTCTGGCAGTATCTGGGGCTTGCGCTGCTTAGAATCAGAACGAAAATCTGGGGAATGAAAGGCTGAAGATGGCCATTTCTACTCCGCGCTGGCGAAAGTAACAGACACGTAACAAAATGGCGCGAAAATTAGGTGTATCTGTTAGGCGCTGGCAAAGCAGGCGCCACGTCATTAATTCCTTAGTACCCCAAACCACCTGTTGTCTGTTGACGTTGCTGACCAAACCAAACGCACACGCCAGTTTGGTTGGAGGGGTTTGACCGAGAGGACCAACTGTTACAAAATAGGAGTGCAGATTTATATTTTTACTACAGGTTCGGAGGAACAAAAGAAATCAGGTCTGAAAAGTGCCATACCCCATCTGACGTCCCTGCAAGGCAAGGATTGAAGCAACTTCTCCTGGTTGTCGTATGTCAGTTCATCAAGATGCGTTTCAAATAAGCAAACCGACCAAGTCGTACTCCAACTAGGCAGCCTTTCATTCATCGGCAAGATTTGGCTTGATTGAGGTGCATTCTACAGCACATCAGGTACTTGAATAAATACATAATATACATGCATTCACAGTTACCGTATCACCTTACTCATCACATTTGAGAGGCATCGTAGTAATAGAGCTGTTAATTCAGGCATTACCATACCATACCCAGAAGCAGTCTCAGCGGCTAGTCATTATCATCGTTCTCCTTATTAACAAAGATGGTGTCCGCCATGGCAACGAGCGCTAAAATCAGAGCCATATCAACGTTTGGCTTGATGCGCACAGCATACGTGTGCGTGCTCAGAAAATCCCTCACGGACCAGATATCCCTCTCCACCTGTGCCAACAGAAGCCCGCTGCTCGAGGTGATCTGAGCAACAAAGAAAGCACAGGTACAGGGGAGGAAGAGCATATCAACGTTTGGCTTGATGCGCACAGCATAAGTGTGCGTGCTCAGAAAATCCCTCACAGACCAGATGTCCCTCTCCACCTGCGCCAGCAGAAGCCCGCTGCTTGTGGTGATCTCAGCAATGTGAGCAATAGAGCAAGCACGGGGACAGCCACAGGAACAGGGACGGAAAGGCATCAAGGCATGATGAGCTTCTGCACCAAATCCCTGACAGACCAAATGTCCCGCTCCACCTGTGCCAACAGAAGCTCGCTGCTTGTGGTGATCTGAGAAACAACAAAAAGGTATCAGCAGCATGGAAAGGACAGGAACGGGGGGGAAGAGGCATCAGGTGTGTTGGGGTTCACACGTTGCCCACTCCCTGGCAGACCAGATGTCCTTCTTCTCCACCTGCGCCAAAAGAAGTCCACTGCTCGTGGTGATCTGAGAACAGAGAGTAAGCACAGGAAGACGGAGAGGGAAAGAGAGGCGACAGGCATATTGAGCTTGAAGAACCAATCTCTGGCAGACCAGACCAGAGGTCCCTCTCCATCTCCACCAACTCCAGCCCGCTGCTTGCCATGATCTGAGCAACAGCGCAGGCACGGGGACAACGCAGGAGAAGGATCCACTGGGTTTGAAGCACGTGTGCCGGACGCTCTAGACGCTCTCCACTGCGCCAGCATAAGCCCGCTACTTGTCGCGATCTCAGCAATAGAGCAAGCACATGGAGAAGCGGAGAAGCAGAGATGCATCAGGCATGTTGGGCTTCATGCATCAACTCCCTGGCCGACCAGATGTCCCTCTCTACCTGCACCAACATGAGCCCGCTGCTTCTCATGATCTGAGCAAAGAACAAGCATGGGGGAAAAGGTAGGAGAAGGTCGGTTGGAGATATTCAGCTGGGTATGCCTGGCACAGTGAGAGCCTGTGGCCTGCCCATACAGTTTTCCACTTGTCTGCACGTCCCTTTCCTATCCACCTGCATCAACTCAAGCCTGCTGCCGATGTTGACCCGATCAATGGAGCAAGCATAGGGGCAGGCCCAGCTATTCTGACTGAGATGGGAGTACCCAGCACAGTAGGGTTGCTTCCCTGTGCCAAAGAAAAGTTAGGGACAATCACTGTGATACGTGTGCACAGCACATCACATGTACTGTGATACAGGTGGGAGAATCGAAGAAAGAATGTCCAGGGCGGGGGACAGGGGATCAAAGATCTCAGCTCGCATGTTTGAGTGTCTATCTTGGCTTAAAGATTCTCACGCACACACGGGAAACTGGCTGCCTGAATACATACAGTGAACTCGTGCTGAAAAAAATCGCCTTTGAGAACGATGTCTGGCTTGTTGTCAACTGAATTCCCTTTCAGAAAGATCTGCGGAGACGTGGAACAGCATGGCAAGAAGAACGGAAAAGGATACGCGTTCAGATCAAAACCTGCAGCTTAGCACCTGGTTCTGGAGAAGTGACACATTTTGGCCACTCAAACCCTGGAGAAGTGACACATTTTGGCCACTCAAAACCTGGAGTAGTGCCAGAATCTGGCGTTTCGTTCCCTCCCTCGCTCACTCATTCTCTCACTCTTTCGCTCGCTTGTTCACCGACTCGTTCGCTTGCCCTGGGAACAGGTTTCCAGGGAAAGGAACACGCTCTGGCAGTCACCAGCTCTTTTGAGATGCCTCAAATCACCTTTCACGGACTGACACCCTGCTCACTCCCTCACTCACTCTCTCTCTCTCAGTGATAGCTCACTCCTCGCGCACTCACTCACTCACAAATTAACTCACTCCCTCGCTCCGTCGCTCTCTCACTCACTCGCGCAATCACATAAAGAATGAAGAACCAGGAAAAGAGCTTGCTCCTGGAAGTGAGCAGCGCTTTGAAAACCCTGCTCAATGCTCACTCCCTACCCCACCACACAGCTCACTCTCACTCCACACTCTCTCTGTCCCTCCTTCCCCCCTTCACTCACATTAAAGAGGAGTGCAGTAAAGGGATTTTGTCCTGGCTCGCTCGCTGCTCCTTCATTCCTCACCCAGTCACTCTCTCCCTCCCTCATGCACTCGCAATAGGAATGGGTGTTCAGGTTAAAAACTTGCTCATGGTTGGAAACTGAGCAGCGTGTGTTAAGCGCCTCAAGATCCTCTCATGGACTGATGCTCGATGCTCACTCCCGCACTCACATTGAGGACGGGTTTCCAGGACAAGAACTTGCTCCGGGCAGTGAGGAGAGCGTCCCACCTCGTCCTGGAGCTTGAAAGATGGCCTTGCGCTCGCTCACTCTCCCTCACTCACTCATTCACTCCCTCACTCCCTCACTGCCTCCTTTCCTCCCTCACTCACCCATTCGCTCACGCACTCACATTGAGGATGGGAGTCCAGGAGAAGAACTTGCTTCGGGCAGTGAGCAGGGCGTCACGTTTATCCACGCTGGCGCCCGGGCACAGGTAGGTCTCGTCGTGCAGCGACAAGGCCTTGCTGGTCAGCGAGCACACCGGCTCGTCCTGGGCGTTGAAGATTGTCTTGCGGTTGCGCCACGAGAACGCCCTGCGCGAATGTGGGGGGGGAGAGGAGGGGGGAAAGCAGGGAGAAGGCCTTGCTCGTCTGTGAGTAGACCGCCTCGCCCTGGGCCGTCCCGCCACCGGCAGGCGAGAAGGCCGGCAGGCAGTAGAACGCCTTGCGTGAAGGCGGTGCGAGAAAAGAAACAAAAGAAGAAAAGGCATAGAGAGTGGAAAACAGAGAAAGAGAACACACACGCGAACGCACACACACAGAGAAAAAGGGAGGGCTGTTACATCCCGTGTGACGTGACTGTTTTTGGAAGGTTTCTTCTCTGTGAGTCAACCTCGGTCACAGATGCTGTTGAGAATGCTCAACGGTGATTGAGGTTACCAGCAACTGCCCAGCTTTGACCACAAAATTGCACGTGAAAAAACTCTTTCTTTCTCACACCGTCCTCCCCTTTCCTCCCCCCCCTCCTTTTCCCCTTCCCACCCCCTCCTTCCATTTCCCCTCCTCCTTACCCTCACCCTCCACCAAGAAATGAAAACAACAACGAACTTTAGAGTGGTTGACTTCTGAGTCGACTCAAGAGAGTTACTTGTCCTTGGTCTTGAAAAAGAGCTGGCCTTGCGTGTCATATACGTCCGCTTTGTCGTGTAGCGACCACATTTTCTCCTTCAATATAAGCACCGTCTCGTACGGGAGGCAGTACTGAAGCCCCACCACCACGTACGGCTCCGTCGGCCCGACGGTTGGCGTGGGCGACGGGATGGGGACATTGGCGACGGGATTGGCGACAGGATTGGCGACAGGCGTGCCAGTTGCGACCGTAGCGACAGGCGCGCCAGTGGCGACGACCGGCGTGGTACTGGCGAGGGGCGTGGCGACGTAATTGGGGGGAATCGATGCGGACATGTTGCCGCTGATATAAGAACGCGGCCTGTCGGTAACCTCGGCTAAGGCTCGGTCGAGGCGCGGAAGAAGTAGATTACAGGAAAGGCTGAGGCTCGGATATAACATTACACCAGTTCCGGATAATAATCGCTGTGACGACGTTCTTACGGGGGCTCGGATATAAGAATCAGACAAAGTACAGACAAAACAACCGATATCAGCGAATAGTGAATAGAACTGCCAGGAAGCTATTGTACTGAGATCAGGAACTCCACGTAGACATCATAATGTGCAGCCTAACTACTCGCGACGCGGAAGCTTTCGAGAGTTATGAATGAAAGGCTTGCTGGTTTCACGCGCGAGAGTATGATCGGACATCACTGACGAAACAGACGAGTGAGCTGCGTGTGTCTCGTGACAAAGGAGAAAGTGCCAGGAAGGCAGGCGGCGGGAAGCAAAGCAGACAACGCGCGGGCATGTACGGTACACGCGATGCCGTGAACGGCCAGTCATTGGCGCGGGATTGGCGCTTATATGCTAGTGTGCTAAAAACGCTTATCTGAATGTGGACTGGATCCTAGGCAACATCGGAGGCACAGCCTCTGTACTGTGCGGAAACAATTCGGAGGTGGCAGTGTTTTTCCTGATCAGTGAGTGCGATGCGGTCCGGAGGTAAATGAACAGAACTCGGTGAGGGGAAATCGGTGATTGATGAAAATCGGACGACCAATAGAATAGCCACGTGCCGTCACTCCCAAGGCAATACAGCGATAATCAGCTAAAGAAACAAAACGTTTTACAGAAAACAGAATCTCACAACAAAGGTAAGCACTGAATTCTTCTACAATAATCAAACCAGGCCAAGCCCCTAAAAACAGTATTAGGAGGTTCCCATTTAAAAATTCTCTGTTACAAGGATAAGCTACCAATAAATGATTTTAGATCAGTCTTCATCAACTACGGTATCCAGGCAATTGCGGTATGGTACGGTAACAGTACCTTTATCAGCAGTTACCACAAATCAATTATGGACTACAACAGCTGTAAAGGAGCAGACCTACTTGTCATCTTCTCTGTTGACGAAGATGTTGTCAGCAATGGAAACAAGGCCCAGAATAAGAGCCCTGTCCACATTGGGCTTGATGTGCACCGCGTATGTTTGAGTCGCCAAGAAAATATCCTTGGCCTGTAACTTACGGTCCACCGTTGCCAAGAGACGACCGCTAGAAGTGGTAATCTGCAAGTGTAGGGAAGGGAGAAGAGAAACCCGTCATACTAACATATGCAAAGCACGCTACATATTCTCTTAAACCCCAGCTTTCGGAGCATTCTGGAAAACGAGAACACAGGCATCTGATTTCTCAATGCAGTGATGCAGTAGGTGGACGTAATAAAACAGGTAACAGACACAGTTAAGAAAACAAGACAGACCGCGCTGGCCTACAAGCTGACAGCCATTGCAAGGACGTACAGTAAAGTCGTATTGAATGAAATTTCCCTTGAGAATGATGTCAGGTGCATCATCTGACGTGTTCCCTTTCAGAAAAACCTGAACAAGAATCAAACAAAAACGGATGGGATAAGGAGAAAGTTACACCACCCTAAGCTTGAATACATAAGAGAAAGAAACGTTAACTCACTGTACATACGCTCAGTGTAAGCAGCATCAAGATATAGCATTGATGGTGTGCCATGCGAACGTTTGCATCAAGGTTGGCCCTACAATCTACTTGAAAGAACGGCTCCAATTGCCTCTTTTAATTTTCACAAGCTATGAAGAAACAACTCAGTGACACTCACATTGAGAATTGGTGACCAGGTCAGCACGACGCTCTTGGCGGTGAGCAACGCGTTGTCGGGTTCCGCGTCGGCGCCAGCGCAGAGGTACGTGGTGTGGCTGAGGGAGAACACCTTGCTAATCATGGAGCAAACGGGCTCATCCTGCGCGTTGAAAATGGTCTTGCGCTCCTTGATATCCCATGCCCTGCCACATTGGTGATAAGCATTGGGAAACGCGGCGAGGATGCGGAGCCACTCATTAGGGTGGTCACGGATTTTTCTCCGTGTTTTATTATGCGAACTTTGGACCTTGAGTAGGCGAAATTGGAACGTCGCTATGTAGTCGCAATTTACGTACTTTTCCTCGGTCCTGAACACCAGTTGTTCCTGACCGTCGCGGATCTCGGCCTTCTCACGCAGCGACCACATCTTTTCCTTCAGTATAAGCACCGACTCTTCCGGCAGGCAGTACTGGCTTCCCACCACCACGTACGGCTCGTTTGAGTCAGCCATGGCCAGAGCTGCTCGGGGAAAACTCGGGTAGACTGCGACTGTCGAAGGACTGAGCTGGATCTCAGTTTGAAGATGCTAGTAGCGTGGCGTCGGAGGAAACTGATCACACGTCGACAAATGTTGCTCTGACATTTCGAATTGACTCAGGCAAGGAATACAGTAGGTAGCTCGTGAAGGCCTTTTGGAAGGTGCATTGAAACTGACCTATCAAACTTTACGTGCACTCAACCGACTCGCCGTGAACATGGATGGAATGGTGCACTAGGACTATGCCCGTAAGTGCTTGTGACGGAAACGACGCCACGTCATCCGTGGAACCCGTGAAACAAATCGGGACTTGGTGCGTTTGCCGCGGTGCAGTTCGTCGCACGCTGTCTCTCAAACCCGCCCGGCGGGCGGCATGAGAGCTGGTGATGGAAAATCATCGGACGGATAAGAGGGCGGCAGCACCTCGTTGTATCTTGCGCAATGGCCAGCTTCATTGTTTTCCACCACCCATCAAGCACGAATTGTGTTGGTTCACTCAGGAGGAATCAGGAACCCCCCAACTGTAGAGTCCTCTGTATTCACCGCTTTGAATCTCTCAACACGCCGTTCTTCGAGTGATTCATTGAGCTGCACCTGGGATCTCACTCACCCGCGGAGACTGATCGCGCACTACTGGGGGAGGGATGCGCGACGCGTTGCGAGATGATTCGACGAGGGGGATGCGAGGGGAATGAATGGACGCGGGGTTCTGAGCGAGAGGTGTGACAACTTGGAACAGCGAGTGGTGGTGGGTGTACGGGCAAATCTTCTGACAGCGATTTTCATTCCGAAGATTCCGAACCCCCTCAGCACTGGAAATCACAATCTCAATCGTGCTGATAAGTTGTGTTTCCTTCAGGGTACACTTCAAGAAAGTTTAATTCTAAATTAACCGTAAGTCATGCACATATCCTCGCAAAAGATGGGATGTGTAAGGAGTTTTCGGCATTCCTTACCGCCCATCCATCTTAACATCGCATAAAGGACGAAATGTTGGCTTTCTATTAAAATCGTGAGCCCTGGGTGCGGTAGATGTTTAATAAAGAGATTAGCAAATACTAAATGAAACAATGCATTCCTTCCTGCTGCTAGGAGCCTAGCTGCCTACTGCTTGACAAAGAGAGCATGGTACATGGGTGAGCCCTGCAGCAGCAAGATGACTGTTGAGTCGACAGAACAGAAGCCAGTTTCAGTCAAGTCGCCTCAAAGCAAGCTCATTGCTTAACAAAGAGAGCACGGTACATGGGAGAGCCCTGCAGCAGCAAGATGACTACCGTAATAAGTTGACTCATAAGCCTTGTTCATTCGACTCAAAGCAAGCTCATTGCTTAACAAAGAGAGCGCGGTACATGGGTGAGCCCTGCAGCAGCACCACCACCTCCCTCTCACTCGGCATTCCCAAGGGGTTGTGATCCAGCCACCTTATTGCCTCTCCTGCACACCCTTCCCCTGCGCTCCCCTCCCCTGCGCTCCCCTCCCCTGCGCTCCCCCCACCTGCCCGCTCCTGCCACACACTTTCCTCTCCTTCCGCCCCCACACCCGTTCCTCCTGCTGCAACAAGGTCGCTCGGAACAAATCTCACCGTTGCCACACCTTTGATATATGTGGAGCTCTCCTCTCCCTCGCTCTCACTCTCCCCTCCCCCACCCTCGCTCTTCCCTCTCCCCCTCTCATCCCCAGCATACCCCTCCCCTCCTCCCCTCCCATGCCCCGCAAACTGCCGGTACATGTCAGCAGCCACCTCTTCCACGTCAGACTCCACAAAAACATGTCCACCTGGCACTAAAACCCGGCCAATCGCCTCCACCAAACCCCGCTGCACCACCCGCCGCTTCCGGTGCTTATTCTTAAAATGCGGGTCGGGGCAGAGGATGGAAACAGCTACTAGTGGTCCCGGATAAGTCGCCAGCACGGATTCGAGCGCTGACGTGGCATTGGCGACGACAAAGTGCGCGTTGCGCAGCGCCAGCTGGCGGCGCCACGTGTCGGCGCGCTGCACGAGCTTGTCGCGGATTTCGAACCCAAGGAAGTTGAGCGGCGGGGCGGGAAGGAACGACGGCGACAGTAGCAGTGGCGAAGTTGCTGATGCTAATGGTAGTGTGGCTGGTGATGACGAAAGTACCGGTGATGATGGTGGTGATGCCGCCTTAGCATCTGACCCGCCCCCCTCCTCCCTTTCCTCCTTTTCCTGCCCCTCCTCTCCTTGCTCGCCCTCGTTTCCTTGTTGCTGCGCGCGCCATCTCCAGTCCCTCACAGCAAGCGCCAAAACCAGCCGCCCACTCGCCGACCCAATGTCCACCACCAGCGGCAGCGACGGGTCCTCATACACTGCCGCCCAGTCCACGGGCGGCGGCGGCGCCATTAGAGACGTCTTTAAGGGGTTCACGTGCTGCCGAACGCGCACCGGCAGCTGCGGATGGCCGTCCGCGAGTGGCGGGAGGCCTAGGGCGGCAAAAATCGCGTCGATTGACAGGCTGGCGCCTGCTGACGTGGCGGCCAGGGATTGGATCTGCGGCCACTGGGACGCGCCGTGCGGGACGAGCGGGCGCGTGCGCCACTCGGACATGCCCCTTGGAGTTGACTCCGTTGACTCGGTTGACTGGGCTTTTCTTGCCTTTCTCTCTGCGCGTCTGCTCCTGCGCCTGGCCCTCAGATCGCCGTCCTCAGCCTCTCCTACCCCATTTGTTCCCTCGGCGTCCTCT